TACAGTGGAGGATTACTGGACTGAATGTCAATATTATGACATAGTATGAGGATGTTTCATGTTTGGTAATTGCAATCATTGTTGCTTTTGTTGTGGTCATCCATTTACAATGCTTGGTGTCAGTTTATTTATCTCTTGTAAAAATAAATTACAGTGTGTGTGTGTGAAAAAGAAAAAAAAACTTTTGCACAGCAAAGGAAACTATAAACAAGACGAAAAGATAACCTTCAGAATGGGAGAAAATATTTGCAAATGAAGCAATTGACAAAGGATTAATCTCCAAAATTTACAAGTAGCTAATGCAACTCAATATAAAAAAAACAAACAACCCAATCTAAAGATGGGCAGAAGATCTAAACAGACGTTTCTCCAAAGAAGATATACAGACTGCCAACAAACACATGAAAGAATGCTCAGCATCACTAATCATTAGAGAATTGCAAATCAAACTACAATGAGGTATCACCTCACACCAGTCAGAATGGCCATCATCAAAAATTCTACAGACAGGGCTTCCTTGATGACGCAGTGGTTGGGAGTCCGCCTGCCGATGCAGGGGCCACGGGTTCATGCCCCGGTCCAGGAGGATCCCACATGCCACAGAGCAGCTGGGCCCGTGGGCCATGGCCACTGGGCCTGCGCGTCTGGAGCCTGTGCTCCACAGTGGGAGAGGCCACAACAGTGAGAGGTCTGCATACCACAAAAAAAAAAAAAGAAAAACTAAATCTACAGACAATAAATGCTGGAGAGGATGTGGAGAAAAGGGAACCCTCCTGCACTGTTGGTGGAAAATTAAGTTGATATAGCCACTATGGAGAACAGTATGGAGGTCCCTTAAGAAAGTAAAAATAGAACTACCCTATGACCCAGCAGTCCCATTACTGAGCATATACCCTGAGAAAACCATAATTCAAAAAGAGTCATGTACCACAATGTTCATTGCAGCTCTATTTGCAATAACCAGGATGTGGAAGCAACCAAGTGTCCATCAACAGATGAATGGATAAAGAATATGTGGCACATATATACAGTGGAATATTACTCAGCCATAAAAATAAATGAAATTGAGTTATTTGTAGTGAGTTAGATGGACCTAGAGTCTGTCATACAGAGTGAAGTCAGTCAGAAAGAGAAAAACAAATGCCATATGCTAACACATATATATTGAATCAAAAAAAAAAAGTTTATGAAGAACCTAGGGGCAGGACAGGAATAATGACACAGATGTAGAGAATGGACTTAGGACACGGGGAGGGGAAAGGTTAAGCTGAGACGAAGTAAGAGAGTGGGATGGACTAATATATACTACCAAATGTAAAATAGATAGCTAGTGGGTTGCAGCTGCAAAACACAGAGAGATCAGCTCGGTGCTTTGTGACTACCTAGAGGGGTGGGGTAGGGAGGGTGGGAGGGAGACGCAAGAGGGAGGAGATATGGGGATATATGTATATGTATAGCTGATTCACTTTGTTATAAAGCAGAAACTAACACACCATTGTAAAGCAATTATACTCCAATAAAGACGTTAAAAAAAATTAAAATTCAGTTCCCCAGTCACACAAGTCACATTATAAGTGCTCAATAAACATGTGACTAGAAGCTACAATATTGGACAGAACATATATAGAACATTTATCACCCTGGAAAATTCTGCTGGAGAGTTCAGTTGTTCTACCGAGCTGTCTTTTGGAAGCATTCAATTTATCTCTGTGCTCTTTTGAGCACTCTTTTGGAGTGGTTAGTACTTTTTTCTATAACATTTCTTGTCTTTATAAATGACACAGTTGATGAACTGAGGTGTCCTCATTGGGTCCATGAGCAGTTCTGAATGTGCAGAAAGTTGGTCTCAACAGATAGCTTCAGTTCTGTGTAGACCCACGGTGTGGAGCTCAATTAAAAATAACTTTGCACCTGCTTATTTGCTCAGCACAACTGAGAAGGGAAATAGGCTTCTGCAACATTCCCTGAGTCCAATCAGTCAGGCAGTCACCCTCTCCCCTCTGCCCACTCACACACCTGGTCTGCTCTCTATAAAAAGGTACAGAAGACAAATTGTACCATATTGTCAAAATGCTGAATCTATGAATTATATTGATGCTTCTTCATGTCAGCCAGTTCCTTTTCAAGAAATCAAAACACAAACTGAGCTCATTTTAGAAGTGATCTACCTTGTCAGACCCCAGGTAATGCAGGTATATTGAGGATGTAGAGCTCAATGAAACTGTGGACATTTTGTGATTGGAGCACAGACCTGGATTGGAAAAGATGGAGATTCTGAACTGCCAGAGCCTATGAGATAACAGAGGGAGGGAGTAATGGCAAGGTGGTTTTTATAGAGTCATGCAAGACCATGAAGACCAACTTCCCACAGAGCCAGGACATTTGCAGACATAAGCCTCTGCATTGGGCTTTCCTCTATGGAAAGGAATTCCATAAAGATGCTGTGAATGGCCCCAATGGTGATGTTCAGTAGGACAGGTAGGGACACCATCAGGTTATGATGGTCTATCTAAGATACAGGCAAACACTGCCAGACAATGCAGCTGCTTCTCTGTTCTGCTGTAGGGTCCCAAGGTCATCAAGTTTAGCCTCTGGGAGTCCCTGAGATTGACATGTTACACATTAATAAGGAATATGTGGTCAGTTAGGTGGAATCTCCCTGTTCTGTGCTCCATAACTCAATTTTTTTGGAGGTGTGGATAACAATGGGGAAGTTCTTTTAAAAAAATCTATAAAGAAACAGAAAACAAATATACATTGCTCAGAAAGGTGCCCACACAGTAGCACTGACCAGGAGATGACCTCACTCCCTCAAGCTCAGCAGCCCAAGCCTAGGGTGTCTGGGCTTTACCCAGGACACAAGACTGCCTATTTCACAATGTCCAGTAAAGTCACAGCTGTCATGTGCCAAGAGTCTCATGCACAATCCCATGGGAGGTAAAGTTAGAAGCTGCTATCTGAGTATGGATTTAGAATAGGGCCAGTTTGTTACAGGGCTCAAATGCATAATGGAGTCCAGATCAGATAACCTACAGGGCTTTGTTCTTTGAGAGGGAGAACGTGACTTTGGAAATTTCTCATAGGTTCCTGGCATAATGCCCTCTTACCCAGAAAGGCCTTGTCCCTCCATCTCCTGAAGGAATTCATGTTCCACTTCACTTACCTGACTTCCTGTTCACCATGGGAAAGACTCCTGGTCCAGTCTCTAGGGAACTCCCTGACCTACTATCTATCTGGGGACATATTGATGCCTATCTCCTGATATAACAGAAACAATGGATCCGCATATCTGGATTTACTCAGGAGTACTTTAGACAAACATTATATATATATATATATATATATATATATAATGTTTGTCTATATATATTTGTGTGTGTGTGTGGTACACGGACCTCTCACTGTTGTGGCCTCTCCTGTTGTGGAGCACAGGCTTCGGATGCACAGGCTCAGCAGCCATTGTTCATGGGCCCAGCCGCTCCGCGGCAAGTGGGATCTTCCCAGACCGCGGCATGAACACTTGTCCCCTGCATCGGCAGGCAGACTCTCAACCACTGCGCCACCAGGGAAGCCCAAACATAATATTTTAAAAAAATTAAAACATTTTAATTAAAAATTAATTTAAAAGCTAAAAGCATTTCCTCTAAGATCAGGAACAAGACAAGGATGTCCACTGTCACCACTTTTATTCAGCATAGTTTTGGAAGTCCTATCCACAGCAATCAGAAAAGAAAAAGAAATAAAAGGAATCCAAATTGGCAAAGAAGAAGTAAAACTGTCACAGTTTGCAGATGACATAATACTATACATTGAAAATCCTAAAGATTTCACCAGAAAACTACTAGAGCTCATCAATGAATTCAGAAAAGTTGGAGGATAAAAATTAATATACAGAAATCTGTTTCATTTCTATACATTAACAACAAACTATCAGAAAGGAAACAATTCCATTTACCATTGCATCAAAAAGAATAAAATACCTAGGAATAAACCTACCTAAGAAGGTAAAAGATGTATACTCAGAAAACTATAAAAAAATGATGAAAGAAATTGAAGATGGAAAGATATACTGTGTTCTTGGATTGGAAGAACTAATATTGTTAAAATGACCATACTCCCCAAGGCAATCTACAGATTCAATGGAATGCCTATCAAAATACTAATGACATTTTTCACAGAACTAGAACAAATAATTTTTAAATTTGTATGGAAACATGAAAGACCCCAAATAGCCAAAACAATATTGAGAAAGAAGAACAGAGCTGGAGGAATCACATGCCTTGACTTCAGACTATACTAGAAAGCTACAGTAATCAAAATAGAATGGTACTGGCATAAAAACAGACATATAAATCAATGGAACAAAATAGAAAGCCCAGAAATAAACCCACACACTTGTGGTCAATTAATTTATGACAAAGGAGGCAAGAATAAACAATGGAGGAAAGACAGTCTCTTCAATAAGTGGTGCTGGGAAAACTGGACAGCTACATATAAAAGAATGAAATTAGAACACCTTCTACCCCATATACAAAAATAAACTCAAAATGGGTTAAAGACCTAAATGTAAGACTGGATACCATAAAACTTCTAGAGGAAAACATAGGCAGAACACTCTTTGACAAATCTGAGCAATATTTTTTTGGATCTGTCTCCTAAAGCAAAGGAAATAAAAGCAAAAATAAATAAATGGAATCTAATTAAATTTAAAAGCTTTTGCACAGCAAAGGAAACCATAGACAAAACAAAAAGACAACCTACAGAATGGGAGAAAATATTTTCAAATGATATGACTGATAAGGGGTTAATATCCAAAATCTATAAACAGCTCATAGAACTCAACATAAAAAAACAAACAACCTGATTAAAAGATGGGCAGAAAATCTAAATAGACATTTTTCCAAAGAGGACATGCAGATGACCAACAGGCACATGAAAAGATGCTCAACATTGTTAATCATCAGGGAAATGCAAATCAAAACCACAATGAGAGTGGGAATTCCCTGGTAGTCCAGTGGTTAGGACTCAGCGCTTTCACCGCTGTGGCCTGGGTTCAATCCCTGTTTGGGGAACTAAGATTCCATAAGCTGCATGCCGCAGCCAAAAAAAAGAAATCCACAATGAGATATCAACTCACACCTGTCAGAATGACTATAATCAGAAAGAACACAAATAACAAATGTTGGTGAGGATGTGGAGAAAAGGGAACTCTTGTACACTGTTGGTGGGAATGTAAATTGGTGCAGCCACTGTGGAAAACAGTATAAAGCTTTCTCAAAAAGCTATAAATAGAACTACCATATGACCCAGTATATATTCCACTCCTGGGTATATATCCAAAAGAAACAAGAACATTAATTTGAAAAGATACAAGCACCTCAGTGTTCATTGCAGCATTATTTACAATAACCAAGATATGGAAGCAACTTAGGTGTCCATCAACAGATGAATGGATAAAGAAGCTGTGGTATATATATACAATGGAATACTACTCAGCCATGAAACAAAATGAAATTTTGCCATTTGCAACAACATGGATGGGCTTGGAGGATATTATGCTAAGTGAAATAAGTCAGATGGAGAAAGACAAATACTGTTATGATATCATTTATAAGTGGAATCTAAGAAATACAAACAACTGGTGAATAAAATCAAAAAGAAACAGACTCACAGATATAGAAAATAAACTAGTGGTTCCCAGTGGGGAGAGGGAAGGGGGAGGGGCAATATAGACTTAGCAGATTAATGGGAACAAACTATTAGGTATAAAATAAGCTACAGGGATATATTGTACAACACAGGGAATATAGCCAATATTTTATAATAACTGTAAATGAAGCATAACTTTTAAAGATTGTGAATCACTATATTATGCACCTGTAACTTACATAATATTGTACATCTACTATACATCAATAAAAAAATTTTCTTAAAGAATAAGCAGAATGCCTACTTAATGTGAGGACACACTAAGAACATTTATCCCCTTGAAAGAGTGGGCTTTTCTTCCTGTCATTGTGTTTTGATTGTATATTGACCAGGGAAGCATAAGAAAGGTGAAGAGCACCTGAGCCTGCCTCCACCACAGCTTGAGGCCAGTCCATCGGGCCAGGGTTGGTGGCATGTGTACGTCCTGAAGAGCACACCCTGTTTTAACTGCGGTCATCTGATAGTAGATATTCCTCTACAAGGATAAAATATTGAGACATGAGAAAAGGAAAAAGAGTGGCCAACAATGAACAGAAGGCAGTAGCAAGGGCTTCCTGTACCTTCTGATAGGGGTTCACCACAGACCCACTTTCTCCCATCAGGTCCCTCCCATTGGCCCCTGCTCTCAGTCATGAGGAAGGCCTCATTCTCCTTGGTTTACACCAAGCCCCAGGGGCAAGACTCCAGCTAGTCTACATTTGTCCCGTGCAGTCAGATTGCTTATCCTTGACTCCTCTTAAGTCACACAGGTACTTTAGCTAAAGGAACCCCCTATCCATTCCTCCTGTTTCCCTTGAAGACCTCCCCTGAAACCCCACCCAATGGCCGAGTCAGCATGGATCAGGTGAGCTGGTAAAGGGGAGGATTCTCACCACTTGAGTGTTCTGTGTGGGGATCTTCCTGTTAGGGTCTGGGTTACAAATACAGGAGCCACTGAAGGACACTGGGGCAGCTTCTCCTTTTCTAGATTTCTCTCTGCTTATTTCCAGAGAATAGGTAGGCAAAAAGCCTCCAAAAATGTACCCGGCATGAGTACCTGGAACCAGTGACTACATATGGGAAAGGGACTTTGATTAAGTTAAGGATCTTGGGATGGGAGATGATCCTGGATTAACTGGGTGGGCCCAGTCTAATTTATAAGGACTTCCAAGCATGGGAGTGCTGCCAAAACTCAGCCCCTGTTCATCTGTGCTAAATAGAAATGCAGAGACAGAGTATTGGGTGAATAGAAAAGAATAACTTTATTGCTTTGCCAGGCAAAGGGGCTACAGTGGGCTAATGCTCTCAAAACTGTGTGTCCTACCCTGGAGGGGTAGTAAGGAGTCTTATAGTAATGGTTCAAGGAGCAGGGCATGATCAACTCGTGGAAATTCATTGGTTGGTCATGAGGTAATTGGGAGTCAGCATCATCAACCTTCTGTTTCCAACCAGTCTGGGGTCTACATGCTTATGAGCAGCAGTTTTCATCTGGTGGGGGTCTGCTTCCTGTAAAAACAACTTAGGAATGTGTGTCAGGGCTTTATCTATGTCTATCAGGGAACTGTGAGTTCAGTGATTCTGCCACGAGGCAGACTTATAGTCTAAACTCTTACCAGTTCTCCAGCCCAACATCTATTTTTTGTTTCTCCATCTTCACGTTTCCCAGTCATTAACTCTTCAGTCAGCGTTTTACTTCAAAATACAGGGACACAGGGGCTTGTTCACGGTTCCAGGAGTCCTTATAAACTACAGAGGAAAACAAGAGAGTGTGGGTAAGAGAAGAAAATGTGATGACATTTCTGAATGTCATTCAGGCAGCCTGAATCTGAGTGATTTGGGGTCATAAACCAAAGAATGTGGGTGGTCTCTAGAAACGAAAAGGCAAGGAATGGATTCTCCCCTAGAGGCTCCAGAAGAAGTGTAGTTTTGCTGACATTTCATTTCAGGGCTCTGACCTCCAGAATTGTAAGATAATAGATTCATGTTGTTTTAAATTAACTAATTTTGTGGTAATTTTTACAGCAGCAAAAGGAAGCTAATATGAGACTAGAAGTGTTTGGTTTGGCTACATAGCAATATGATAAATAATAATCTATAAAAACTGAAATGATTATACAAATTATTAAATACTTAGTATATAAACCTTGTAAAAGTGTTCATTTTAAATTATAATGCTGAACTTTGCATGGATGAAGACACAAGCCTCCACAATACAGCCAAACTGTATATGATAGTGAATTAAGAGCCACGAGATCTGGAGTTCTGGTCCTCTTGCTGTTACAGTGTGACTTGGAACATGTTTCGGAGCATTTTAGCATTAGCAGTTCTTGAGTAAAATGGAATTTTTCATCAAGTCTGAGTAAAGAGTAAAGAAGCTCAGTTGTTATTTATTTATTTATTTATTTTTTTTAAGAAGCTCAGTTTTTGATGCCTGTGATTCATACCAACAGGTAACCTAGTGGAAACATTTTTTAAAAAAATACCAGATTACAATTATGGCCAGTGGAGAAAATGAAGGTGCAAATGGTACACTGATGAAAGTGCCCTACTGAAGCCACAGGACATGCTCTCAGAACCCGTGTGTATAGCAGGGGAGACCTAAAGGTAGTCTCAGTGCCGCCTCATTTCCAGACCTTTTACATCTTGAATGTGCTCTTAAGATCTCCACCAAAGAAAGCTGGAAATATGTAAATATTTTCCTATGTTAAAAAAGGAAGGAAGGAAGGAAGGCAGGGAGGGAGGGAGGGAAAGAAGGAGGGAGGGAGGGAAGGAGGGAGAGAAGGAAGAAAGAAAGAAGAAAAAATTTATTTTGGGCCCTCCCTTCCCCTCCATCTACCAGTACTTCACCCCAGGGCAAAAGAATGGTGATCTGATTCACCTTCTCTGGAAAGTAGCTGTGCACAGAGGTGAAGGTACTGACCCAGCATTGGCAAGTGCTCTCTGTTCAGCACCCATGCCACCCTCCGCGTGCCCATGTGTACCTGCTACACACCAACTCTGACAGCAGACCTGGACCCTTGGGTATGACTGTAAGCATCAAAATCACCCTGAGCCATCACTATTCTTCTTATTGATGCAAAGCCCCAAGCCAGCCATGTTAAAAGTGTCCCCCAGGACTTCTAAATGGAAGCCAGGAGACATGGACCTCCTTCCCTCTTTGACAGTGACTCGTGAGGAAGTGAGCACAGACATGAGCACCATGTCCCAGTCTCAGGGAGGATGTGGGAGGAGAGGGGCCGGTCAAGAGGCACGGAGCCCCCCTTCTGGTCACCACCAGCTAAAACCCTGTTCTTCCCCCATCCATAGTCAATAAATCCACCTTTGAAATGTGCTGAATCATGTCTTCACCACTTATAGCGCAAGGAATGGAGTCTATTCCTGAACCGCAGCCCCAGGAACACCAGTGCATCAAGGTACAATGTGTTCTCACATGGTACTCCTCTTCACCTGGTCTCCCTTTATTTGCCTGTAGTGATAATGAGGTTCTATACCACAGCCACCTAGCAGTCAGCTCTGAGCTACTTGTGGTTTGGACTGACTTTTACACTCATCAGAAGGCTCGGGTATGGGCTCAGGGCAATAATGGCTTCTTCAGCCCCAAAGCATTAGGGTACAGAGATGTCCTCATGAGGCAGCCTAGTTTATTAGTCAACGACTCACCCAAGAACATGTGCTATTTGCCCTACTCTACTGGATATATTTTCACACATTCACTTTTGCTATAGACAAGGAAGGTACAAGTAACTGACCTGGAACAGGATTGAGATATTGCCAACTTCCTTGGGAAAAAAACATCGTAATAATCCATTACTATCACATCTAATAGCAACTCATTTCATTATGCCCTTTGTAGAAGATTAGGAATTGATCATGCACTTATTTTTTTTCCCATATCCCTCACCTTTCCAGGTCTTTTTTTAATAAAATAGAGTTAGAACTGGAGATAACTAAAAATATTTCCCAGAAAGCCTTAATGCTGAATGTATGGGGAAAATCTCCAAACTAGGAGTTACTATTTCAAGAAATCGATTTATGACTGAGGGCATGCAATCTAAAGGTAGTATAGAGTGGAAATGCTATCATGTATCTTGGGTTATTTTAATGTCTTTCTATGTGAGGCACAAACATAGAACCAGAGGCATTGTTGTGGTCTCTGGAGAGGAAACTTGTCACTAGAGAAAAGACACACAAGCCCATGACAGCAGAACCAACTACTGAGACTTATCCTGACTTAGCTTCAGAATGCTTAGTGTCTCCATGTTTGGAAAAGCATCTCATGTACTTCCTTAAACGGCTCAGGAATTGGTGCTGACTTAAGGATGGTAGAGACATGCTTGCACAAGTTCAGAGGTAGGTCAGGTCACTACTTTGAACTTCACCATCC